TGCTGAATAAACAACAAGTCCCAGAAACCAAGGTTTTGGAAGAATTAGCAAGCCCCAGCGTAAGATAAACCTCTATGGAAGTGTCAGAGGACATGGCAAGGTAAACCTAACACTTCAACTGCAGAACCGTGTCAGTTCAGGGGGACCACTTTCAAATGAGGAATAAAAGGCTGTCCGATCTTGTAAGAAGGGAGTCAGTGGCGGTTGCCTGCTCCGTTTTGAACATGTTCTCGTTCCTCAAACACGGAGCATTCCTGTTGCTCTCTCTCTCCCTTGAGAAAGTCCTGGAGCCATCTGCCCATCAGCTGCCTCTCGTGTGGATTCATTTTCAGGCCAACTGTTATGAATTGCCTGACATTCTGTACAAAGCATCAGGAACGTATACGCTTTTGGACTGTTTTCAGTGTGATGGTGGAGGTGGTGGAGATCTGTTTCCTTGGAAGGGGTGATAATTAAAGCTTCCTATGGCCAACAGTGTGGACTTACAAAAAACTGACTGGAGCATCACATGTTACTCAAGATCAGGGTCCTTGCTTTGTGTTAGAGACGGAGCCCAGGCCCTCAGCCTTGTAGAACATACTGTTCAAATCAACCAAGTTCCTGGGCTACAAAGCAGACCTCTGAAGAAGGTGCCTGTCATTTTACATCACTCTCTCTCTCTTTTTTTTTGCACCTTAAAAATATTAATAAATGTTCCACTTATAGGGGATACTGTCTCTCTGACGTTTTGAGCATCATCATGTCTCATCTTCCTACTGAAGGACTTAGCCAGCATCCCTGAGGTGTGGCTGCTTGGTTTTCTACACTTAGCTTGTTACCAGATTCGAAACTTTGAAGGCTGATAGGAAGAATATTTTTCATTTTGTTTAGAAACCTAAGGCAATCATGGTGCTTTTCTAGGGATCCATTAGGGAAATATATTCAGGGAGTTTGCCCCCTGAAGAGCCAAGGACCATAACTAGCTCAGCTGACACTATTTCTTCATCCGTAGCATATGAAATTATGCTACTATTGTAAAGCTGACCAGCTTGCGCTCTGGCAAAAACACAGTGACCTGAAAAGCATTTTAAGGACTTATTTACAATTTTAAGTCAATGGCAAGAGGTGCATCTCTTGCATCTCCAGGACCTTGATGCGGGGCTAGAGGTTTGCCCATCAGATTTCCTGAAATTATTATCACATTAAAAAAACATCTCCTCAAATAAACTCCTGAATCTTATATGACTTCTTATTCTTAGGAGGAAGTACACTGTTGCCTAGACATTGTGGCAGAATCAGATCACACACATGCACACTCGCACACATGCAAACACATGCACACACTTACATATGCACGCATGCTCACATATGCACATGCATCTATAAAAAACAGTTGGGCGGTGTTTGCTCACTCAACGAAGTACATATCACCATCAATCCCTCCTTTTCTTTTTAAAGTTGCCTAAGGCAGTATTTTTCTACTTTTTGGAGCTTGAGCAACTGTAAGAACTACACTTTTTCTATCCCATTTTCTAACCCAGCACATATATTACCTTTAACATACACACAACTGAAACCAAGAAATGTCACAAAATTATATGTATGAAATGCTCTGAGATTTTTCTATTACAGTCCCCTAAAAGAGGCTGGTCAAAGATCAATTAAATGGGGTGATGACATTCAGAGTCACAACCACAGTTTGAAAAACACTGGCTTAATGCAACCATTCTTCTTTCCAAAGATGACCAGGCCCTACCAGGATCCTGTATTACGACTTTAGTGTTTTCAAAGGCACCGTTTGTTCTTGAATAAACAATACAAGGGGACATCCTGTTACCCACGAACCACCTGTTTTGAGGGCATCGTGAATTCTTTTAGCTGATTTGCTACTAATGCAGTATGAATGCAATGATGCAGACCCCACGGGCAGCCACTGCTGCCTCCAATGCTGGTCTTAGCAGATTTCTGCTCTCAGAGCCCCGGAGACCTTGACCCTCTCCCCTGCTACGGAATTCTCATCACTTTGGGGCTTGAGGTCATTCCCTCCTTAACTCCCACAGTCTTCACTTCATTCCTCTCTCTAGCCCCGACAATTCCTATTTCGTAACCATTTCTAAACAATACATGAAAAGTGGACTGAGCCAGGAAAAGGCTAGAAACCCAGGGGCTCTGAGCATCCTCCCCAGCCTCCATCACTTTTTGGAAATGACGCTCTTATCTACCTAAAAAAAAAAAAAAAAAAAAGTATACCATTCATGACTCAGTCACAAGATAAACATCATTGCTACCAGACTATATCTTATTCAGAGATTCAAAAATTCCCATCTTTGCTGAACCAACCAAAAAGTGTAACCCTATGCCCTAAATGTTTGAGGGGCCAAAAAAAAAAAAAAAAAAAGAGTATACCATTCATGACTCAGTCACAAGATAAACATCATTGCTACCAGACTATATCTTATTCAGAGATTCAAAAATTCCCATCTTTGCTGAACCAACCAAAAAGTGTAACCCTATGCCCTAAATGTTTGAGGGGGTTAGGGTGGCTGAGAATTGGCCTCTTGTGGGTGAACTGGACTGCAAAGAGAAAAATATAAACGAAGTCACCTTTCATATTTCTCTGAGTGACGTCCTGCCTGCCCTGTGGCAAAGGGGGGAGGGGAATCCCAAACCCTTAATCGCTTTTGGGTTGTTAGCATATTAATAAGCATGGTAAAAGTGACACACTAAACAAAGATGTGCCCTTAACTCGACTTTCACAAATTAAAAAAATGCTTTTGAGGAGCAGTAGTGCAAAGTAAGAAGCCCAGGTAGGCAGTGGGACGTGTATGCTTTCCATTTCAAAATTACTAAGGATTTGTTTGACAAGCGTTAAAAGTTGAAATGATAGCTCATAAAAAGTGGCACACCGCCCCTCCTTCCTACTTGGCTCTCTAAACCTGCTCTTCACCCCCAGAAAGACTCTCT